AATTAGCTTACCTTAATCCAAATACAACTACACGTGTTTGTTTGGCAAAGAACAAAAAAAAGTTAATGGAATAATTCATGATATAGTGGGTAAGTGACGAAGGCTTGGAATATGCTCTCTAATGTGGAAATAATAATCATTTGTGAGAAACTAATTTATTAGTACCGTTCAAAGAATTATAGTTTAATTTCAGTTTAAGCAAAGAAAAGCTGATAACACACTAAAACACCTTATGGAAATCGCCAAAGGCTAAACTCATAATCACGCTTCTTGTCTCTTATGGAAATCGCCAAAGGCTAAATCACAACAAATGGGCTGAAATTATTCCAATATGTTCATTTGCGGTCATGTCTCTACAAATCCAAATAAACAAAACTAGAGTATTTTGTATTTTAAATCAAAATAAGATTAAATTAAAACATTTCGTTTGAATTGGAGACCACAATATATAATTTAACCCTTTTAACATGTACCCCAGAAGAGAGATACATAGTGACCAGCAAAGGTAAAATTTTCTGCAATATTTTACAATAGTGCAAAATCTCTTAAAATTAATCAAATCATAAGCATTGTCGCCAAATTCAAACCTAATGTCTAACCGTAAAAGCCGTCGAGATTTCTCCAATCGCTGAAGAATATAAACAACTCAGTTGAATTTACCAAGTTCCCTTTTTTTCTTTATAGCTCGTTGTCCATGGTATATGAACGAATCTACTATCCCCGATACCGTAAAGATACCTGTATAATCAAAGGTTTTTACGCAATGAATGTAGTAAGCATCAGTTTTGGGGTTTGATGAAGAAAGTATTTTATCAAATGAAGGGAGATATATTGATGTTCACCTCCAACTATAGCACAAACATTTGTTAGGAAGTGCAAGAACTCCACATGCTGCTCCTCGAATATCACCTAACCAACAATCGAATTAAAATGTTTGTTTGAGACATGGATTCATTTGGTATTATATAAAAAAAAATATACAAAAATACCAAACCCAAACAGACCTTGATTGGTGAAAGATCATAGTAGAAGAAAACACCAGGCGGGGATTGCAAGCGACCTGCTTCCGCGTTCTGGAAATGTTCCGTCACAGAGAACTGTCAAGATCAAAAACCCTTTTGTTAGAAAATGTCAAGATGGTTAGGGGGGAAGAAAAAAGATAGCTTTCACGAATGCTGCTTCACCTGGTTTGACTGAATAGTATTCTCGTGAACATCAGTGTATATGGTTGGTACCACCTGCAATTCCACAATCACAATCCCATTTCTTTATGACTCAACAATCTCTCTACAGAATGCAGAAGCTAAACTCTAAGGAAACTAAAAACTTGCATTTGTCCACAAGCAAAGTATCCTCATACTACTCTATCAGTAAACCTAACTACAAATGAGACATCTAGGAATCTAACCGATGCCTGTTTGGAATGTTATCTAAAACACACCATCAAAATCCTTGGTGAGAATACCATCTATAGAAAAAATGAGAATCCTGAGGCAAACCTTGATGAAATATTGATACACACCATTCTGTTTCACCTGATTCCACTGCACACTGAAAGAATCAAGAGACGAATTCAGAAGATTAGATGATTGGAAAAGTGATAAAGGGTGCGAGTAATGGCTTAGGAGAGAGAAAGGATTCTTTACCCATCTAGAGGGTTCACTACACCGGGGAAAAAGTCTCCAAAGGCCAACCTGTTGACCTTGTGGCTAATCTGGGTAGAGATACAATGGAGTCAGACCATTCTGAAGTATGAGTTTATAAAGAGAGATTGAAACAAGAATGAAACTTCTCTTACATTGTAGTTGCCTTGGTGGAACAATATCATATCATGAAATTGAAAACCGGATTGATGAAAGCTTTGCCCCGGAACGAAATGAAAATTCCCAGCAACTTTATTAACTTCCAAGAAACCGTGAACATTACAACCTTCACCTTCTTCGTCTTTAACCTTTTGCACAAAGCCTTCTCTTTTACACTGAGATTGAATGAGCAAAATTATCATACAACTAGATGTGAGGATACTTCAAACTAAGTAACAAGATTAACACAACTTTGTAGTTATTAAAGGCATGTCAGTATACCTGGTCGATTGATTCAGGGTCAGAGAGGGCCCAACCTTTTTTTCGGTAAGCTTCACGAACTTCTTCACATGTATTACAACAAGCATCATCTGTCTGTAAAGTGTTAAGAATGACAAATCACAATATGTAAAGAGTATGAAAACATTTTACCATATCAGAACTGTAAAATAATAACAGAATCAATACTAAAGAACTCCATGAAAGTCCAAATATCACATGTAGGAGCAAATTATTCAATTGATTTAGGGAGGCTTACTGCTTCGGCTCCAAAACAGGAACCACAATATGTTTCATTATGCTCTAACCTTCCGCCATGTTTCTGTAACGGTTTTTCAATCTGGGGATAAACGACAACATTAGAGAATTTCAACACTTTCAATTATTTTTCACAATGAGATCAGAGATGGCACCTGAAAAAGAAAGTTCAGTCTCTTTTAAAACTAACCTTAGTATGGCCAATTCCATCTTGTTTTGCCTCGATGACATTGCCATGAGAGTCTAATCTTCTTTTAATTATATCGTGTCGCTACAATATACAAACAGGCATAATCGAAAATTATACAAAACATCTCGACTAGGAAGAAAAAACGTAACAGTAAAGAACAAACCACTAGCACATACCACATCAAGGTGCCTCTCTCCGCTAATATCCATCGAATCAAGACTAATAATCGAACATTGAAGCTCAGGGAACGTAACATCAAACTGCAAATTCCACATGGTAAGTTAATCAAGGCGCTTTCTTTACACAAACTAGTAATCTTACAAACTCAAAGTAGAGCATTTATACATTGATGCGTAGCTTCTCTCCTCTTGATGTATCAACACGGAGCTGAGTCTCCGTAACCGGATGCATATAAAGATCTAAAAACCAGAAAAAAGCCCACACAAATAGAATCAGCCATGTTTAAATTCCGCCATATCTACAAATAACTAGTTCATCGTTCCACTTAACAAAAAAAAAACCCACGAAGAAATGACAAAACTTTCGAGCTAAAAATCGACCTTTCAAGCTTCTCCGAACAAAACTGGATCGAAAGCTACGAAGAGAGCAGAACAACAGGGTATATACATATGAATGAACTTACGAAGCTCGGAGAAGAAGAGAATCAACATGACGATAGAAGAAACGAGGGTGATAAGACCACCAGAAAGAGTACGCCTGTAAAAATCTTCATTGATTTTAGGGTAAGCGTCCAGATTCCTCAAACTGTTCATCACGCCGACCATTCCCCTCCTCGTCTCGCAGCTACTAGGGTTTCCGCTTTTTGACCGATTCAACGGAAGAAGGAGATGATTCAACGGGGAATCACCTGAACTCTATTTTGACTTGGATCTCTCTCTTATCTATTTTCTCGGATTTTTCTTCTGGTTTTCCCCAATTTTCTTTGTTCCAAATTAAGCAAAGAGATTCTGTGTAGACGATGACGCCGACTCTACCATCTTTCTACGGAGTCGCATACGGTAATTCATATTACTTTTTGATCCCTTTCTATTTTTTATTTTTACATGTTGGGTTTGGGCTCTGGTTTTATCGTTAAGGCCCATATGAATCCCACATAGTATTTGTCCAATACGCATGGATGTTTGGTCAACAAATGTTCATACATAAATACATAATAATCATTTTTTTCATCCCAAGTACACCGTTCAAGTACCATTGTGGAAGTTCTTCTCAATTTCGGTTATCGAGAAGAAGTAGTTGTTGCTTTTTTGTTTTTTTTCCATCTGATGAATTTATTAAAAACCGCGAATTTGAAATACAAAGTAAGAACGTAACAACCTTCTGTAGGATAGCCTTAATCCTGCAATATAGGAGCTAACATCCAAAGGAAAAAGGGAACCAAAAGAAACAGAAGATAACCTAGCAACTAAAATCAAACTGGTGAATCGAAGCATTCCAACGAACTCTCCAAGGAAATATGTAGGTGCATAATTGAGCCAAACAACATGAGCCAAAACGAGACATATAAAACATCCGAAACAATCCAGACAAAATGAAAATCTTCTAACAAGAAGATGAATCGCGCTCAACTACCAACAGTATCGGCAGGGATGACGACGGAAGAACAAAACAGTCTGGACCAGCTAAGAAGCTACTCTGACCAAAACCACCTTTGAAGACAGGATGACTAAAGGGAATTAGGCTCGAAGCAAGCAATGACCTATGAAGAAAAAAATGCCAAATAGGAACTACAACTCTTTACATGGACCCTCGCGAACCAACCTTAGCCATCTACATACTAAAGGAAGGTCACCTTTACGCAAAGAAAAAAACTGTAGAACAAGCTCACTGCTCGTCTTGATAACCTCTCCAAAACCCAAAGACCAAGAAGAAAGCCAAGTAGATGCCTCCACAACAAACTTCTAACCCAATGGCGAACCAAAACAAAGGACCTAAAGCAACTCTAACCACCAATTTCGAAGAGGAGAGAAAACCAGAGTAGAAGCAGTAGGGTTAAAATCTATTTCTAATCGGTAAGACCCAATTTCTATACAATAAAACCAAGCTACAAACCAAATCTACCGTAACCGATCGAAACCATAAACTACCGTAACGAGAACCTAGATCTGAAGAGAGACGTCTGATGAACACGAGATCAACATCACCGGCGAGGAAAGGCTTGGAAAGAGGAGGATCTGTTACGTAGACGTATCTCGTAAGACAAAAAGACTAGCGCACCACCGCTTTAGATACACCACAACCTTCACTACAACCCTCCCCTAAGAGCCCATACCACACCCGAACCACAACCCAAACTTCACACACCGATCTAAACCTCAACTCATCGGGTCAAAACCTGCAAATCAATCTGCAAAACTGAGAGAGAATGGACAGACGAGAACCCATGACCGGCACCGGCGCTAACGGAGCCACCAGCACCGGTCAAGAACGATATCGACGAGAGAGGTCGTAGAGAGAAAAATCGCCTATGGCGGCTAGGGCGAGCTCGCAAGTACGAAATATGAAGTAGTTGTTGCTAAAACCGTTATTCCTAGAGATATAATAATTTCATGCGCTGTCGATAAAGTTAATCATATATGTCATATAATAAAAAATAATAATCATTTAACTAAAAAATACATTCAAGATTTTTTCATATTGTATCTTATTTTTTGCTTTAGTAGTAGACATAATTTAAATCGCAAATTTTTGGTTCTCCGCCTCATCCTATATATTTCTATTTTAAACTTCACTTCGTTAAATACATGACTAGTTTTTTTGTTTTTTTTTGGTCAAGCTCTATTTCTAAAGTTTATGTTCATTTTTTTTTTACATAATATCCTCCTGGAATTACTTTTACCATCCGTAAAGAGAAAATATGATTTCCCAAAATCTTTTGATATATATTATCTGATATTTAAAAACTGTGTATTCTTGAAACTTTGAATAATATTTTGAAATTCAATTTAATCAATATGTCTATATTTAAATAAAGTGAAAGGTGTTAATTTTTTCTTTCCAATGAAGCATTAACACCAAAAGGGGGAGGAATCATCCTTATGCATGAATGAATCTAACAATAACACAATTGGAAACTTCATTTTAAAAGAAATGTGAGGTTCCAATATACTCTCATATACTAATTAAGATTTCAATTTGAACTATTCCAAGATATGAATTTATTTTCAATATTCTAGTTCATTATGGTATTATACTACCAAATTCTGTACTTAATTTGGATTCGGTTTTCTATATTAATAGAATAGAGTTATGAAATCATTTTATGCGCATGCTACCGTTTATAAATTAGGATTGCGTTCTAGCTTTTAATTACATTCTGTAAAAAAAAATCGTTTATAAATTGAGCCCAAAATTTTGTAGAAGCAACCACTTTATAAAATATTTGTAGCCATCTCTGTTCCTAAGAACCTATTTACTCTTACATCTCTCAAGTCGCTGACAAGAAGATTATGGACGTTGCCGGAAAAATCGAGACTTTGGTCAATTCATTGAGGGATTTGTCGCCGACTCGTGTTAGATCATCTTCCTCTGATGGCTATGTATCCGAGATCGATAGCGAGAGAAGCTCATGGATTGTATGTTCTTAATATGACCCTGTGTGGCCCTAGCCTACTTCTGTGGCCATTTATTTCAAAAGAAACTTTGTGATTTTATATATATATTTTTTCTCAACATTTTGTTCTTACAAGAAGAAATGGCATGTGATATAAAATCTAACAAAATAAATGTTGTGTTCTTGTTACACTTCTCAATTAATATGTAGAAGATTATATTTGATCATCTATTTGACTATATGTTGAGCTACTTCAAAATATATTTTTGTTGTATTTTGGATTTAGGATCTTCATCCATCGGCTTTGGATACGTTTGACAAAATCATGAATGATGCAAAAGGCAAAGAAATTGTTATGTTTCTTGATTACGATGGAACTCTCTCACTAATTACTGAAGATCATGATAGAGCTTACATTACCGACGAGGTTCGTCTTGATCTTGCTCCATATTAATTATGTTACAACTTTTTCTTATATTTTTTGTTCTTATGGGTTTAAATAATTGAAAATAGTTTTTTTGAGTCAAGTTCTTGAATTTATGTACATTTTACAGATGAGAGAAGTTGTAAAGGAAGTGGCTGTACATTTCAAGACTGCGATCATTACCGGAAGAAGCACAGACAAAGTAAATTCCATGAATCGATATATTCGACAAAATTTTATTTTGTTACATGTTTTATAGAAAATATAATGATTTGTATAATGATTCATGAAATCTATTTTCTGTCTTTTCAGGTACAGAGTTTTGTGAAACTCAACGGGATTCACTACGCCGGTAGCCACGGCATGGACATTAAGGGTCCGACCAAAACCGATAAGG